AGACATTCTTTTATAGTTCATATCATATACTGACTATCACGATAGTTGCCCACCCTCCTTTATCCGTCGCATTCAGATGATCAAAATGGGGTGGATAAGTATACTGATATATATATATATATGTTTATTTATTTATTTATTTATTTAAGAACACGAAGCAAATGAAACAGACTCCCAAAAATGTATGAATTAAATTCCACATTAATATTACACATTGCACAATACGAATATATTCTTTAAATATATGCTTTTTCTAAAGAGCATATCGTTAAAATGTTCCTACTGTTCTAGTATCAGTATTACGTTCATCCACTTTGATCGTTAATTAAATACTAGCAAACATTAACTGTTATTAACCTCAGTTCCACTTATCATTCCGACTCCTCTCTTATCATGTTATCGAAGCGATAAGTGTCTACCTGTTCAGCATTTCTGTGTGTCGTACGCGCCCAGAAACCCCACGGCTCGTAATTCCATATTCGTCTCTGTTCCCTTCAAAGCAACCGTAAATCTTCCGTTGTTTACCCGCGATGACCAATGCATTTACCGTCCATTCAGCGACCACAGAAACTCCGTAAAATCAAAGCAATTCGTTCAATAAAACGAAGAGCAATAAGTTCAGAACAATGATATTCATAACTCTTTGCAATTCTCCCACATTTCGCAAGCAAATGTTAATATGCTCGACCCATCAGCGTCGAAACGAACGTTCAAGTTCGAACAAATAATTCCGTCAGCCAATTGTGGGTGACACGGCGATCAGGGTGTTAAAGCGGCCAATTAACGAAACAACCGAAGATTTGGCGAATTTTAGAACTGGCGCTGACTTTCGGTGCCTCGATATGAGTCACGCGATCAACCCTCTATCCGAAATCGGTGAACGATGGTGGGGTTGGCGGGGCGGAGGGGTTCGAGGAGAGGATTGGGGGAAAATTTGACGCTAGGGGTGGCGTACAAGCGCGGGCGCCATCTACTCGCTCAGTGCTTGACTATCGTCCGAAGGCCTGTGTACTCGCGATTGTATTACCAGATTATTGCGACATTTCGTGTGACAATTTGATTCAAGTGTATCGTGCCATATAACAAAGTGACCAGTGCACGCTGTAGAACGGACACAAAAAGGTAATTCGAAACGAACAGTACATCTTGCGCCGTTTTCGAAGACGTACATTGTTCGGGTGGCTGCCATCCTCGATGCTAGACACGCGTTAACATGTTGGATCGATTTCTCTTTCTCACAAGTCGTGAATACGATGGGAAACTCCGGTGGAAGACCCGATTACGGTCGTCCACCGTTTTCTCGCCGCTAAATACACGAACCGTTTCGCTGCTCTATCTACACCCCATTCGGCCGTTACAATTTCTCCGAGGCGAGCAGGGATATCGAGGTTCGAGGCGAGTTGAGTCACCCTCGAGACCCTCTGGATAGACAGACGCCTGCAGCCAGAGCCTCTGCGCTCTGTTTTTCCACGAAATCGCATCGGCACCGTCGAAATTCAACGAAACCCCTTGGTCGCCGTTCCTGCCTCGGCAAATATTTTATTCGTCGCGCCGTCTGTTTTCCAATGCGGACGAAGGCAGGTCGTGCGACCGGATTTTCAATTCCGATTTCTCGATAAGCCGAAAGGGATGAGTCTGTCCCAACTCGTGAAGTATGGTTCGATCTGACAATACGTGTCCCCCGCTTTAGTGTCAAACTGACACACTATACGCGACTGTTCGCCGTGCTCCCCTTCGCCGAGCAGTAACGATGCGATACGTTTTCGTATTTTCGAATATTTCTCGTACACTATGAGATCCCGAACATCGTTCCCGTTCGTTTTCGGACTTCACGGACGTTTATTGTTCGGTGCCAGAAGTCGACGCGTGCAGAAGTATGAGGGCAGACATTTTTGGATTCTTGATCGATAATCTTTACACAATTAACATTATTTTCGACATATCGAAACGGAGAGAATTTCGGCCCGAGCATTCGTGGTGCTTTGCTATGTTCAACGCATCAATTTTCAGTGAGAAAATTATGTATGCACCTATTGCTTATTTCGGGGACGTGGATGATATTTCGAAGAGTAATAATATTACATATTGCATGGTCGTATTAACTATTTCATGTTGATGTTCCTCGTCCGTTTTACTACAAAAGTCTCCTTTATTTGATAAAATGTTTTTTGTATGTCATAAATAATGTTTATTAAAATTCTGCCGAGCAAACGGAAGGTAATGCGAATGCCTTAGTCACTTTTAATCGTTTTTCGCGATAACAAAGGCTTATTTCTTTCGGTAATGAACAGATATACATATATATGCACATGAGACATGTGCACATAGTTTTGAGTTAATTCTGAACTTAAACATAACAATTCTCACATTTGTCCTGCAAATACATAACGAATTAGTGCAGAGAGAGAGAGAGAGAAAATGAATAGTTTTATTCGTATTGTTCGCATGCTGCTCTTGCAAACTACTAAAAACCGTGTAAATTATAATTTTTCGTACTTATAGATGCATTTAATTCTGTTCATTTAATTGTTTACATTTAATTTCGTACGTGTAATTTCTTACATTCAACTTCGTACATTTTAATTTTGTACATTCTATTCTCTTTATCTGTCTGTGTATATCTAATTTTGTGAATTTAATTTCGTTCAAACTAGATACGTACATACCGCCATTGTACGATTTTCTTTATCCTACTTATAATATTTCTCGCATTACGAAAAATACACTACCCTCGAAGCAAATGCGTTTCTTATTAGATGGGTCATCGTTCACCCGAAGCATTTAACATAACTGACACAACGCTGATCAACTGAGCAGCTTAGTTCAAGAATTTATTGAAAGAGAGAGAGAGAGAGAGAGCGTCATTTTCCGATAATGAAGTATCGAAGTTTCCACTCGTGGCCAAGTCGTGCGGAACGAGAGGCTACAATGTGCGATAACAGTTTGATGTTAAAAAAATAAACGTGAATAGAAACGAAAGAAAAAGAGGTAATAAACGTTCCATAATACACCGAAGAAACGAGTGACATTATTGGCTTAATCGTGAGATAACTCGTGTAAGCACGGTATTTATAGATTCACAATTTCTGCAAACAATTGAGCATATATCGGATGTACTCTTTATTCTTCATGCACTGAAAGCTGAATGCCGTGCGAGAGAGAGAGAGAGAGAGAGAGAGAGAGAGAGAGAGAGAAACGCATATCCATGGCAACCCACGGCGTAAGCTTATAGGAACCACCAGAAGTGGGGGAATTTGACATGTTGTATCATAGGTGGACAATGCTATACTAGGCCCACAAAACTTCAACCATTATGTGTTAATGTGATTATCTATATAGAGTCGACTCAATGGAGCGTGGAATGCGTTTAAAACGCCCGTTTCCATAAAATCTGACTTTTCCCAACCCGCTGTTTTTCCTGTTAATTCACTTTTTCCACGCCTAATCGACTACAAACCAGTTTTATAACCACCGATGTATTTTTATTGCTATTATTTATTATATACAGGTATTACAATCCATTAGTTATAATCACCGATGTACTTTTTATTGCTATTATTTATTGCAAACAGGTATTACAATCCATTAGTTATAATCACCGATGTACTTTTTATTGCTATTATTTATTGTAAACAGGTATTACAACCCATTAGTTACAATAAGTACAAATATTTTTGATCTGTCTACTGGAGTTTGGAAAGAAATCTATGAAAGAGGGTGACTAAAGATACAGTTATTAACATTAAGAGCAATACCATTTTCGTCGTGATTAGAACATTATTCGTTTAATCCGAATGTCATGCATTCCTGATTGCACATGAAACGAGCAAACTCGAACAGACCTTAATCCCACTATCCGTTTCTCATTTTTCCAATTTTATTTGTTTCTTCATGGTCGAAGAAATTAATATGAATAGGAAGGTAGATAATTGAATTTCTACTGAAATGAAAATTAATAATTGAAGTGGAATTATTGAGACTGGGTAACTGCGATAAGATGAGATTAAACGAAAATACAATTATTCTCAATTTTATTTTGAAATCAACGTGCACGATGTACAGTTGCTTCATAAACAGTGAACAATTTCTCATATTGATATGATTTATTTTTATTTTGATCCGATCGGATGTTTTAAATTCCATGTGAAACACCTGTCTGTATTCTTGTCTATATAAGCTAGTTTGTATAAATATTCGAGGTCTAATTATGGTCGTCCTTAACCACTTGATTGACGTTCCTCGACTTGTTTTGAGGATATATTCCTGGAACTTTAATAAATCAGACTACTCATGTATTTTTATTCATGCATATTATTATGGAATCTATAGATATATAAATTAGTATGAT